TCCGGAACGCTCCCTGTGCGCAAGATCTGAATCACGCCCCGCCCGAAGGATTCGGTGGACAATCCGTTATCGAGCCTAATATACTCGTGGATCCTTCAAGCCGATTTCATGCACTCCTAGAAGACTATGTGCTTTCAACAGGCGTCTAAGTCCCACCGCTAGAGAGCTTCCTTTCGAAAGTAGAGTGAAGCCTAACATTAGCGCTGTCCAGTCGATGATTGAGACTTGCCTTCGGGGATATGGTGATTACCTTGGACTTGGCATTTTAGCTGGAAAGGTGTCAGTCCGGATTTAAAGTCTTGGCACAACTGCTTTGTAAGGTTAGCGTGCTTAGAAATTCATTTCAGAAGCAACGCTCGGGGTTAAGATGTTGGCATTCTCGCCTGATTCAGTAAACGGCATGGAAGTTAAGGCCGAGCAGACCGAGCATCTGCCCCTTTGTCAAGTATATAAGAAGCGCCCTCGGATCCAATTATTCAGATTCAAGCAGCGAGCACCAGACAACTCGAACCTTCATCTTGATCATCGCTTGCGAGACTGCTCGAAACAAGCACAATCCATCTGACTCCTTACATTTACCAAAAATCATAAACCCCATCATTATCAACATTTACATCACCTTCCTTCACCACAGACCCCAATCACTGCCACATGGCCAAGCTCCTCACTGTCTTCGGTGCCACGGGCCAGCAGGGCGGCTCAGTCGTCGACTATGTCATCAACGACCCGGAACTTTCCAAGCAGTACAAAGTCCGTGGCATTACTCGGGACCTCACCAAGCCCGCCGCCCAAGCTCTGCGACAAAAGGGTGTCGAAGTCGTCAAGGCTGATGCTGACGACAAAGATTCCCTCAAGCAAGCAATGGAAGGCGCCCACACAGTCTTTGGCGTCACGGCCACCATCTACGACGAGAAGTTGAAGGAGAGAGAACTTGCTCAGGGGAAGGCCATGGCAGACGCAGCCGTTGCTGCCGGCGTGCAGTACTTCATCTTCAGCACCCTGTCGAACGCGGGCAAGATGTCGGGCGGCAAGCTCCAGAAAGTGGACCATTTTGACGTGAAGGCGGAGATCGAAGACTACATTCGCGCGCGGCCGATGAAGAGCGCATTTTTCGCACCGGGAAGCTTCATGCAGAACTTTGGTCATCTCATGGCACCGCGTCCAGCCGGCGACGGCACTTACGCCATTGCGCACTTCGTGAAACCCGAGACGCAGCTTCCGCTCATCGACACTGTCGACGACACTGGCAAATACGTTGGCGCGATCCTCGCCGAGCCCGACAAGTACGAGGGCAAGGTCTTGTCTGCGGCTACCAGACTTTACTCATACAGCGAGATTGTAGAAACGATGAGTAAAGCTTCTGGCAAGACGGTTCAGTACAAACAGCTACCCCAGAGCGTCTGGAGCGGCTTCTTGCCGCCTGATACGAAGGACTATTTGGTTGATATGTTTTTGTGGATTCAAGACTATGGGTACTATGGTCCCAAGACTGAGGAGCTCGTTGACGAGACAGCCAAGCAAGCGCGTGGCAAGCTGACTACATTGGAGGAATACCTCGTCAGGTGTCCTCTCCATCTGCAGTGATGGGTGTACCATTGTGAGAAGTAAAGACAGCGTCAGCAAGCTCACTTGACGGCGAGATCTCTGAGCTCCGAATGATACGGGGCTAAAGGCGGTGGAAAGCAGTAGTCTCAATAGAAAATCAGAATGAGGCGGCTCTCACCCTAGCATATGCTTTTTTGTTCCATGATTAGTCTTAAATGTGAAGTACACAATTATGCTTTCCGCGCGATCTTCCATGAGAACTGATTCGTTGTGTTTGGCGCTACAGACCTTGCAGCAGCGCCGTACCTTCACCTCTTTCACTAACGATACTCCATCTTTCGTGCTTTGAGGCGACTTGTTGGGCATTTCGTAAGTGCAAAGGTGAGGCGTGGCCCAGCCTTGCCTGATATTTCATCCTGGGTGTATGCAACTCATACCAAACACTCCTAGGACCTATGTTCCCAGCGATCTCCTTACTGGATTTCTCCCCTAAAAAGATAGTCCGAACAAAATGTCCTGCGCCGCTCGCACGATCTTTTCCCGAGCAGCAGAAGCTGCTGTGGCAGACAACTCGGCGACATAAACATACCTTGGTCTCTCGCCGCAGCATCTAGCCTCTGCTCTAACAGATCAGTTGCAGAGTAGATCTGTCAACGCTGTAAATGGTCCTGCAGTCGACGCATACTGATCGAACCTCAAGTATAGATGCGGGCGCCCATTCATCCCCAGTCTCGAAGATAGGTTGAAACGAATAACATGCAGCGAGGATAGGTTGCATCAAAGCTGTTATTTGACTTTGGTAGTGTTTCATATCATTGGACGAATGGAGAAGATCTTCATTTCTTTCTTCAAGCGCTGTGCGGGTTACGGCTGGTACAGGACAGAGTCTATCAGGAAAGCTAAAGGAGTGCAGCGGTGAGAGGGCGCAGTAGCATTACAGCCTTGCGTGCGTCATGTGGCGTGCATGGACAATCGCTTTTCCAGCTTCGTCATGAACACCGAAGAGATTCTACTCTTCATTAGTGCGTAAGGTGATACCGCCGTAACAGGTCCTCAAAGGGTCATTTTGCTAGACGTGGTATACTTCGCATTCGTAAAGGGCAATGCTTTCTACCCTAAAACCCCTTACCTGAGGACTCGACTTGAGCCAAATGAAAGCCGTCGATCAGGCAAGATTTGAGCGGCATTGAGCTGGACCCCATTTTAGATTGATGAACCCTTTGCCTGGATTCGAGCTGGAAAATTTTTCAGCAGTGGGGGAGTAATAGAGTCTTAGACTTCGAAACCAAAGAAGCCTTCGCTAACATTATTCCTGTTCAATTCCTGCCCCGTAAGCCCCAAGCGAAACGCCTCGACTTTTCCCACAATTCCCGTTTCCTCGGGTACAGCCTCCAGAAACGCGAACAGCGCCATCTCCGACAGTACCGTCAAAGCTTCCTCCACGCAAACAGATCCTCCGATTCGTAATCGAATTTAAACTGCACGTTCATAAAAGCGACTTAGCTTAGTGAAGCGTCGAGATCATTGACGGAAACATAGATGTTATTCCCAGCCATACAGGCTGTCCATGGAGTTAGTCTCGCAGGCCGAATTCTCTCCACAGCCGGCTTTCTTTTCGAGAGTACGCTCACCAACAATGCAACCGGATTACCTTCTATATTCGTGACATTTTGTGCCGGGTGCAGAGGTTTGAAGACCGTTAGCGATGAGGGCAATCGTGGCGGTTGCCTGATGGGCGGATGTATAGATGTTGTTTTGGATTTCAAAAAAGAGTCCGCCAGTTTCAACGGCGTCTCCCCTACTGGTTGTCAGTGCTGTGGTGAGAACAATTGTTTAATTTTGAGTGAAGAATACGATAGTCGATCCCAGGGCTCACTGTCGTGTTAGAGTAGCATTGAGACCCACGTGTGGAGGCTTTATCGCAAAGAGGCGTCATTGCTTTGGAGCTGCTATAACAGTGCTGCTAGGACCCACGCAAACAGTGTCTGGAACCTCACCAGCGTTTTTCAAAGTTGAACTGGCACAGGCAATGAAACTGCTGTAAATGTCAGTCGTAGTGTACTGATACTTTACGATGGTTGACGCTGACGTAGGTGCGCGTATGATTTAAGTGATTGTGGTGTATTCGGAGGGCTGACACGCGATGCCTGTGTTGCTACCGGTAGATGACATCATTGGGAAGGTCTCTATTACCCCTGTTAAGTCACAAGCACCTACCCCATTGAGGCTTGGTCTAAATGATAACGGGGCCGAGGGTCAGAAGTTACACTTGGACTTTCCGATGACGTGGTGGCACCACCGTACCAGGTTTGTAAATAGTATTGTATATGCGGCATGCGAGGAAAGAAGAGCGTACTCGTCATCCTCCCAGTCATCGTTTCCATCCCAATCATACGCCTGTGCAGAATATTCAAGTCAGCATTGACCGTTGGACAAATTGAGCTGGGTTACATCTTATGTAAATCTAGCAAACAAGGTGTTCCCCAGAAAGTATGTTTATGAGGTGTGCATTAGCTCTGTAGGTAATGGAGAGCAGCATGAATTCCCATATTTCTGCGTATCTGAGATTCCCTCAACTCACAAAAACCTCGTCGCGCATCCTCAAATGCATCAAGCCTGCCAAGGTGCGAATTATCATACTTTGTAGCCCATCCCACAAGGGTATCGCGGCTATCAAACCATCTCGTCCCCTCTCGTGCCTCTCCGAGTCTTGCGCCTACTGTTTACTAAAATCGGAAAGTCGGGCAAGTCATCGAACGTTTCTGCATCATACACCGTAACAGTACCTTTCGCCAGTGTCTCAGCAGCGGTACTAGCGATTTCATTAGTATCTTAGATGTCCTGCTAGAAGCTTTGGAGGATTTTACAAGTTGCTGTCTAATTTGATGATCCGGGAGCATTCTTGGTAAAGTCCTTTCGTAGATGGTTTGGAGGAGGCTTCATCGGCTTTTTCATTCGTCTCGGTTGACTTGCGCAAACCTAGGTCAGAGGTGGAGATAAGGCTGCGAATATTGCGGACAATTCTCTCTACTGAGATGTCTCGAAAGATTGGGCGCATTGTGGGGAGGCAAGCACCAACTACCCCAAGAGAGGATTCAACCATCGGCCAGTAGAGTGTCGGAGTCAAGATATCTACTCTTGTTAGCGAGAAGCCGAACCAATGACCTTATCGTTTTCATACAAGTTACGTCATTATTTTGAGATTGCGTCTCTATGGGACGCAAGTCGATTAGCCTGGTATTTGCAGTCTCGCTAGGGAACGAGATAGCAACATACCAGCAACAACGTCATAAAAGACGACGAGCTTCGCGACGGAGGCAGCAACAACACTTAGGTTGTCAGTAAGTTGTTTCGTTCCTAGCACGGCATCGCTTACAGTGTGCCCAACAGAAAGATGCTACAGACTGCAACTTTTCGGGACGTCGGCATCTGAAGCCTCAAGACCTGGCAAACCATTAGCGATTAGAAGAAGGGAGGACCGGGATGAGCGTACGCATGGAATAGGTAAGCAGAGAATCATTACTGTTGAGCTTGTTAGAATTCTGCCTGGCTCTAGCAGCAGTTGGACGGTTACCATCAGTGATCACATCGGACCACGCCTGCGCCAGGAACATCTCATTGGTATTGATACAAGAGTCCACAGCTGCTCCCCAACCAGTCCAGTTGACTGAGATTGGAAAACATTGGAGTAGGTTGGTAAAGAAGAAAGCTACAGTCCAGACAGTGACGAGAACAAACATAGTTCGAATTGCGTATAGCACGCGACCATTGGTGAAGATCCTAAAAAGGGTGCTTCAGCACTGTCAGACTGGCACTAGAGGGGAAAGTCTCACCGCCTGTAGAAGAAAAGCACAGCTAATTTTGTGAAGCCGAAGGTCAACGTCTGCGTCAATTGCGAAGCATAGGCAATCTACCTCCCTTTGAGACACTCTCTCTTTCCAAGATTGGGGACAGATCATCGCCGCACCTGCTGGAAGATCTGAGTGCGTCGGGTGAATATAGGCATGCCCTGTGCGTCTATCCTTGTATGCCTTCCTAGATCTCCAAATGCGGCTCCTGGACATGACAAATCAGCAATTTCCTAAAAGAAATCAGACGAACCTCTTACCAATGAACATGCAAAGTCCTGTACCGAGCGTGAAAATCTATCGACGCGTCCTCAGTGTCTGGCTTCCAGTAACTAGCGGAAGGAAGGGACGTGACAAACCAGCGCTAGTACTATCATATAATCATCCATCTCTATCCTGACACTCTTTAAGAGGCGTCTGGCATAGAAGCGCAAGATAGCAGCTACAATGGCCAGGACTGACAATACTGCCGCGAGGGCGTACATCTTGCCAGGTGTCTCCAAAATGGCCATGGTGAGGTGCTGAGGCGATGTGATACCCTGAACAATGGCATCGACCAACGCTCAACAGTCTAGCTAGCAAAGAGAGCGGGTTTCAGGTCTTTCAAAGAAGAGACAAATAGAGACTCAACAGTACGCTGTACTTTAACGTCGATTTTGCTCGAGAATTCTGTCGAATTGGATGGAATCATTTTTATACACGAAGCACTTGCACTGTACACTATTCCCCCTGCTTGATACAGCTACTATCAACTCTCATCTCACATTGTGCCATGCTCGGCCATGCCCCTTCCGTTAACAAGTTAGACTCGATAGCTTCAAGCAAGTTGAGAGGCGCAGTGAAATTAAACAAACAATCCGTTAGCCAGAGTCATTAAAGCTGAACCTTAACGCTAAATTCCCAAAGACGTCTCCCCAGGCTCGGTGCTTTTGAAGAGAAGTGCTGACTCGGGTATTGGCTTTGCTTTGCCTCACTTGAGCTTCGCCTCTCCTTCCTCCACTCCACTTTTTAGCCAACCACACAGCGTGCTAGTACCCCTGTTGAGCGAACGAGATATATTGCTCTCGTTCATTGCTTCTGGTATAACAGAGTATGGCATCAATGATGGAAGACGGAGGAAGCAACTGACTGAAAAACTTGAAGGATTTGCCGCTAACCTAGGATGAGCTTATCAGATTAAATTGAACCAATCAGACGTTTGCGCCAAGAGATCATGCCACTGTGGCCTTGACGGCGAAACAAGATATTAGTGGATTCTGTGCCCCCACTTCCTCGTCACTACAACACCCTTTATCAAGGAAGACGCCTTGTATTCTCCAAGGTCACCCTCTTTCATTTCGATATGACTTGTCGATCAGGAAATTATACTCCTGCGCCTCCATCATTTTGACCATCGACTTCATCAGCGACTGTAGTGCTCGAACTACATATCAATCCAGTTGGCGCATGACCAAGACTCATGTCAAGACTCAATATCTTTGTTGGATCAAATGACCAACGTCTCACAGCCGTGAATGCTCGATGGTTACACCCTCAGTAGTCAAAAAAAAATCATAGTCAGATTTAAATCAGACTATATAATCTGATTTAAATCTGATTATGATTTTTAATTTTCGTAATCATAAAAATCATGATTATGATTTTTTGATTTAATAAATCAGATTTAGTCTGATTATTTAGATAGAATATTTAAAAACTTTATTTTTATAGAGATTTTAAAAAAATTAGAGAAAATTCTTAAAAAAATATTATGTTTATAAACTTAAAATTCTATTCTAAATTATATAGCTATATTATATTATATTATATTTATTTAAAGATAGTAATAAGTTATTTTTAAAGCTAACTATACGTTTCTCTCTTTAAAAATACTACTTAAGAATTTAACTTAGAAAAAAATTAAAAAAATTAAAGAAGCTATACTTTTAAGAAGTATAAATTATATAATCTAATACTATATATAGCTTAAATCTTAGATAAAAATAAATAATTCGAAAATTAGTTAAAAATATATAGAAAGAAAGAAAAAATAAGAAAATTAAAGCTCTTATATAGGCTTCGTAATAAATATTAATATTATATTCTACTAAAAATAGAACTTTAAATATATTAATTATTTTTATAAAATTTAGCTTTAAAACGTATTTTCTATTAAGATTTTTATATCTATACTCGAGTTACTATTAACTTTCTAAGTTTTCTAAAAATAGAAAATCTTCTTCTCTTACTTATAATTATAAATATTAATAAATTATATAATATTATACTTTTAAAATACTTAAAAGGCTATATACTAATAGATTTTTTAAGATTTTTTTTCTAAAACTAGAATATTAGACGATTTTCTAAGGGGTTTCTAAAAATAGTAATATTAAATCATTAAATCAGATTTAGTCTGATTTAATAGTCATAATCATAATCAGATTATGATTATCGAGTCAAAAATCATAATCAGATTATGATTTTTAAGAAAAAAAATCTGATTTAATGATTTTTACTACTGAGGTTACACCGACGCTTGTGGAAGACTCAGACAAAGGACGTAAAATGATCCATGCAACAAAGGACCGGACAACAGAGTGCTAGTATCATCAGCTTCTCAAATGCCGAGATTATAAGAAGACGAATTAAGCCTTTCAGCCCCAGACCCTTCCACTATTCTCCAGCTTTCAAATTTCTGAATCTCAAGAATCAATTGGTTGACCATGACCGCAGCAGCCGCCGTGCTGCCAGCGCTGCCGCAAAGTTGGGGGCCAGACCGGTTCCGTCAGCCTCAACAAGATGGAAATCTTGGACTATCAGATACACTATGATTTGCAGGTTGTGGCAATGATGTTGGTTGAAACATACCAGTTACAAGGCTACTGCACGGCGATTACTTATACATTGTGACAAATGGGTTGGTGGGGCTTCGCAACAGTGCTGCTTTCGGCACTATTGTGGCCACAGCCACGGCTTAATCTCTTCACATACATTATAACAAGGCTATGGTTAAAGACTCCAAAATCTGGTCTTTTTCAACATCCATTCAACCTCAGCCTTGTGAGCCAATATTCTGTAGTCCTTAACACTTGTTCAACCTCAATTTTATTCAACACAACATGCATCTAGCCAGCATTCTCTTTACACTCCTGTTCGCTTCTTCGGTTTGCGCTCTCCCTCTTGGCCTTCGTGAGACACACATCACTAAAAAATTGCTCTGTCATCACTAACAAATATCGCGACAGGCAAATTGGTTCGCGCCTGGGACGACCGCGACCTCAACCTTCCTGTTGTCCATCTCGTCACTCCAGAACCCATTACCGAACCCTTAGATCTCTCCGACGGCTTGGGTTTCTCATGGGCCGACGAATGGCGGGGTGGTAAACGCAGCCTCGATGAAGGAAACGGCAACCCTAATCGCGACGCGCCGCGTAAGCGTGACCTCTTCGGTGGCATTGACCCCGGCTTGCTGGAGGCCCAGGACCCAACACCGTCCAAATCGGAGGGCATTTCGAAAGACTTAATCTTCCAAGACGCGCCGCAGCGTAAGCGTGATGAGACACTACAAGAAGCTCTCGACGACATCATCCAACCAGGCGAAGTCGTTGATGATCCCCCACCAGATCCGATTTCCCCAAGACCACGACAAGGCTGGATTTTTTCCAGTGCACCGGATAAGCGTTATGAAGCTTCCGAAGAGTTCTTACCCAAGGGATCAACAACGAAGAAATCATTGTTGTCTTTTAAGGATGCACCGATCAAACGGGACGGCGGCTTCTTGACCATGGTGAAGGACGCAATGAGATGTATTGTGCCATGAGAAATATGGAGTGCGTCCCAAAGATCAGATAGTGTGTCTGTGCATAGTTTCGTCGCTTCAACGCGATCTTGAGACAACGAGTATGTGTTTCCCAAACAGCCACGCCTACTTACTTCGAAAGATTGTCGCAGTCCTGTCTTGTTCTCTCCGCCCTCACCAAAGGGGCTTACTACGGTATCTCGTACGGCGCGCCCAATTCACCTTTACAAGATACAGCAATGATGACCGGCACGGTTCGGAGAGCAAGCAGAGACCACCATCGCAGCCAATCTAGAGATTCCTACTGTTACACCAGATCTTCTATCTTGCCAGGACTATTCATGCCTTGAAGATGCATATCATTGCGAAGATTCAACCTGATGCCATCTCCCCTGACCACGTGCCTGGATAGTCAAATGAAGTAAATAGCCACATCTGGAGCCTTGGTGGTCGCATGAGCCGCATGCCTGACTGACTTGAGCTTGTTCGACTGCATTCCAGGCCTAAGCTTTCGACGATTTTTGTTTGCTAAAACCTAGATAACGGGATACGAGGCACCCACTGAGCTCTTTTTCTTGGTCTTTAATGCCTCCTCCTCTTCCCATCCACCATACTCTCCACCCTACAATAAATATCATTGGTCACCACTCCGCCCTCCACTGGTCAAGTGTGTGCTTAGACGAGTAAGTTGGCTACCTCAACACTCTCATAATCTATGCGTAAACCCTTTTCCGTCCTCATCATTCTCTATCTCTCGTTCGCGGGCGTTGTTAAACACATTCTGTGGCGACAAACCAGCATTCTCGACACGATGCATACAATCACCAGTCAAATGCATTACAATCCCGCGTGCAGTGGGGAGCAGATTCTTCGAGAGCGCGAGGACAAGGCCACAGTAGAAGTGACCATCTGCGGGCCTTCCACCACTGGGTGTTGCCGTTTCGCTAGCCCTCATGTGGATCTTGGGGTTTGGTGAGCACAGCTGTCTACGAGGACCCGTGTGAATCTGTACGCCGTGTGTCCGAAGTCGAGACTAGATGACTTTACCGCAAAAAAGAGTGTCGTCAGGTCTTGAGACCTTGGCACGCTAAGCCCAATCCGGCGACAACCCAGGTAAGGTAAAGACCAGTTCAAATCAGCCTTTGAAAAACCCCGAAATGCGTCTTTCAAACCTTACTACTCTCCTAGTCCCAATCCTCCTCTCCTCCGTCCTCGCAGCTCCCACCCCTGTGAGACACGACAACGTCAATGGCAGGGCATTGGCGGCTCGATCTCTCGACACCGGCACCCATAACAAGGATTACAATCCTGGGCTTGAGGAGGCTACGATGTTAGCTGCAAAAACCCCCGGTTTGGCGGCTCCGGTTCAAGTGCGTACTAGGCAGGCGGGCGCCCCGGAGGCAGCTACGCAGGACCAAGACGCCTGCATCAGTCCTAGAGAATAGGATGTTGAGAATTTGGAAGCCTAGCGGGTAAGTGCGGTGGCCGCAGGGAAGGATCCCGAGATGGAGGTGTCTGATCGATGAGTGATCTCTTCAAGGGTCAGGAGGCAGGATGGAGGGGAATGCTGAATGCTATGGGTTAGCTCAATGGATCAGACGCTTTGGCATATCTCAGTGCTTCTTAAGACAGTCCAAGTCCCAAAATGCATGCATTTTTGTGGCTGAATCTTTTTTGTAAAATACGCATGATCACTGGCGATACACTAGGCATACACATTTCCGTCTGTGCCAGGTTCCAATGGCGCTCTCATAAACCCTAATTGACTCCCCATGGCAGCTGTCACCGCTGCGAAATAGCAGCTACAGCCCCCAGCTCTTCGATTCCTGCGCACAATGATTGGGGGCTCGTGAAACGTGGCCGTATCGGCATTGAACCCCAGACCGCGGTCCAGCAGAGGTCAAGAGTACAAGTTTCCATCCGAGACATGCTTACTTAAAAGCTAGGGGTCCAACATAGGCAGCCTCCAGACTCAGTGTTGATATTACAGCGCGCCTGAGAACTGGGAAAGCGCACACTGGCGTGGCACATTGATTTCCACGTCGCTCAGAGTCCCACTGCTCCCTTTTATTGGTCGGCAAGCCTCTGCAGACCTTGCCAAAACGTCGGACGTGGATGCAGCGTTCCTGCCGAAAATCTTAGCCAACCTCTGTCTGCTGTGACTCCAGGGTACTAGTACTCGCTGGGAAGTGTCGACTGAACGCGCTGATTTGCATCCACCGAGTTATCTAAAACACTTAATGGACGACTCGCGCGAAAACCGCCTTCTTGATGTGATGCTTCCCCTGAACCTTGCATGAAAATGATGCAATGCTACGCGGCATGCAAGGCCCACACAAGACCTTTCGCTAGTATCACTGGCGCAATATAATAGCCTTGAAATGACAGCGTTTCAAATGGAAATTTGAGCTGCAAAATTTTAGATCTTCTTGAAAAGAATGATTCCGAGACCAAAGATTCTCTTGTCGGTGTTCTCGTTGTTGAATTGCGATGAGTTGAAAGAAAGGCTTTCTTACCCCGCCAGTGAATGGGATCTTATCCGTCTTTTTGGAAGATCAAGTATGTTCCAAAGAATCAAAATCACTGGCACGGGATTCTTTCTTGACCAATACCAAAGGACACGTGCTCAAGGAACAGACCACAGGTGGGATGATTGGACGAATCATTAGCCAAGCCCGCCCCCCATTAACTAAAAGGCACCCACGAACATTTTGAGATGTGGATGTACCTGCGCGAATGAGCAGCACACCCTTTCTCCTTAGCATCCTGCCTGAAATTCTAAGGAGATCCCGGCCCCCATTCCCATGAACTTCTTCTCACGGCGCATCATGTCGTATGCGCCCAGGAGCAGTCCGGCGTAATTCCATCGCCACGCTCATGTACAGAGCGCCTTAGGGATAAATCTTGGTAGCAGTATCATCCTCATTCCGTCGTCTTTCAATAAATGTAACACTGCACGATGACGCAGCTTCTCCGTGCCGAGGCTTCTAAACACCGCCCCGAGCACTGATACGTATTCCATGTTCCATTCCATTTCATCCTATCTCAAGCACTCAAATTCCCAGCGCAACCTTCAGACGCATTCGAGCAGAAGACTCTCGACTCCCGCCCAAATGATCGCAACACTATGTTGAATGGATCCTGCACGTGCGTCGCAGGACACTAGTCGCACCCTGCTCTCTGCGACCCTTTCTATCAGGCACGCTGTAAACCTCTCTCGCGGAGGAGCGAAAGAGCCGAATTTGGACTTCGTGGAATAGGGGCTAGGGTTTCATATCGAACCATGTATCCCCCAGGGCCCTCTGAACAGACAAGAGAACACAAAAAGAAGATCTTGCATTCCCGTAATGAATTAAGAGACCTTCCGATTACGATATCATATACGAGGACCTTGAAACCAGCATCCTCGCCGCCTTATCTATTTTGCTCAGCCTCGCCAGCGCCTACTCCGGCGACAAGACCTACTACAAGACAGATTTCCTCCTCCCCAACACACATTCCCCCTCCTACCCGATTTCATACCTACCACGCCCAGGTCTCGGATCCTATGCCTACACACCTCGAGACAACAATTCGATCGTCGCCCTCTCCGTCTCAAGAGGAACAACCCGCCGAACCCCACTGACAACCCTCTCCGCGGCACCACGATCAGCAACTACAACGCGGCCACGGGCGGCACAACGCAAGCTACGATTGTCGATACGTGCCAGGGACGCAGGGACGAGGACGGTCATATGAGTCCAAACGTGTTCAAGGCCGTGGCTCCGAATGGGATGGGCGACGGGAGGACCGTGGCCGATCAGGGAGGGAGCGCGGTGGGCGGGAAAGAGTAGGGATTTGGGGGCGTGAAGGTGCGGTCATTAGTGTGGGGTAGGGGGCGGACGATCTTCAATGGCGTATGAAGGACGGCCCAATGCGCTGGACGTCTGGATACGTGTGCGTTGGCTTCGCCGGCGAAACTTTGTTTGAGGAACATGGAAAGGCAGCCTGATCGTTTTTCAACTCTGTATGGATGGTTGGAGGATAGAGTCTTCCATACTTGGATCGTAAGTAAAGTATTACACCCATGAATTCGAGATTGTTCGCTGCGGACCTTATCAATCTGAAAAATGGTTGCCTGGTGTTTTCTTTCTGACTCCCTATTACCACTTCCTTTCCTCTGGCAAAATACATTCCCCTCGTCCAGGCGCACCTCCCCGCAAGGTAACATTGAGGCTCAAAGCGCTCCAAGAAATTCCGTCATTCCAGTCGTCAAGGTACCTGAATTACGTTCCCGAAGCAAATCATACATCATCAAGACCAAAGAAACAGGCCTTCCTCTTCAACCGCCCCAATTCTTCTCCTTCGCGGCCTCCAAATCATCCACATTCAAAGCACCCACCCCCTCACTCATCAAAACATCCCAAACATGATCACGTCTCCCCACCGGCCAAGCCGGCGTATCCCAATACCTAGCCTTGAGGCCTCTCTCCTGGGCACCCTTGATCTGTCCCCTAATAGTCAGCACCTGCTGTGGCGTGAGGATGCCATGCCACAAGTTGCCCAACTCTTTCTGAAACGACACGGACGCGTAGTATGAGTTTTCGCGGGTGTATTTCTCGCTCATGAGAAGTTGATCGTATTTGTTTATGGATGTGGGATCGTCCCCCCAGAGCTCGTCCAGCGGAGCGTCGTAGAAGATGTCCCGGTATGTAGTGTTGGCGACGAGGAGGTTGAATGGGGTGTTGCCTGTGCCTACGACTGTGATCAGGCCGGGCACCACGGCTGAGCCGTTGAAGTGGGTCAGCCAGCCACGGGAGCGGAAAGGGTCAAGGTGCTCGAGCACGGCGAGGAAAGTTGAGGCGCCATCGGTTTTCATGTCGATCAAGAGGATGAGGGGAGTGTTCGGGCTGGTCTCGAAGACTCCGTTGAGGGCTGTTGTGCTGGACAATGTTCCGTTTGGAGTGGTGACTTGGTTGGGTGCGTTTTGGTTCGAAAGGATTGAGACTATAGGGTCGATGTAAAGCGATTCCAGTGTTCGTTCCTTGGTTAAGGATTTCTGGGAGTGGCCAACGAAGAGGTCATCGCCAAACAGCCAGACGTCGGCTTCGACGCTGGTGCAGCCTGCGGCTAGAGCATCGTAGAGCGGCACATGGCGCCAGTAGTCGTTGTGTGAGTGGCACGGGATAGGTTCGATATCACGGCTGAAGTCTGCAGGCAGTGTCTTTACAAGTTGTGTGGGGTAGTTGGATAATCCCCATGAGGCAATGGTCTTTTGGATATCACTCTGAGGGATAAGCCTCCGGAGGTGGATGATGTAGTATATTAATAAAGAAGCTAGGACACTGGCCATGAACATCAGCAGAGCGCCGTCCACGTCAGGTGCAAAGACCACTAACATGACTGCAACGGATGCTATGATTGCGAATAGCAGCAGTTTCGGTATTGGCCGCTGTTGCTTTCCCTTCCACCTCTGAAAGGCGGAGGTTGTCCTACTTGGTCGCGATCCCTTGGCTGCCGGCGGGACAACAGCTGTCAACCATCGCAATTTTGGGTGTGACTTTTTTACAAATCCTTCTTCGAGGTTGTCGACTGACGTTTCGCTCTCACTGGACACTGCTGAAACTCGATCTGGGCTATTTGCGCGCAATTTCCGAGGTTGCACAGATGGTAAGGATACGGGCCGGTTAATCGCCATTGCGAATTGAACGAAATTGATAGAAGACAATTAGAGAAAGGGTGTGAACGTGGGCCTTCTACCTGGAGGGATTCAAAGAAGAAGAAGGGCGAGGCGCAAAGGAGCTTGAAACCAGAATTCGGTCTAGTCAAGAGAGACGAGCGCATCAGGCATCCTTTGTTCACTGGAAAAAGAAAGACAAGTGACCGGTGCCTCCTTCGATACGAGGGGTCCGCCGTTTATGACACAAATCGCGGGCTACCCTTTTATGTAAAGCCCATCGCTAAGACATCATGAAACCTCTTCAGATGAGGCTGTCTCCATCCTTGCGCGGTCCTGCAAAACAATATGCGCAAAACATACAGTGGCGCAGTCACATCCAGAGGCGCGCAAATCGAGTACTGAACGTTTCAGCATGTAGTATTGAGAACATGATATTTTTTTGTAGTCATGTCTTTCGTTCTTTCGTTCGGTCACTGAGCTGGATGTGCGTTAATTTAAGTTTGGGCTATGTCGCAATATCAGCCACTCGGTGGAAAGCGAGGGGCCAGGCCATCGTTGTTGTAATGCAAAGGGCTGCCAGGCTCAATGGGGGAGAGTATAGTGATGATCATGGCAGACACCCTTTCTCTTAGTTCTAAGGAAGGAAGTATAGGGGCCGCTAGTGGGTGTGGGACGAATGGGCAGCAGTTCTTGCAGACTTGCGGTGAAGGCTGTAAGACAATGCCTCAAGCTGAGTCATCTGCGCAGCTCAACACGGAGGTATGGTAAGAGAGACTGTATGCTGTT